GCGATTCCTGAACAAACCCTTCTGGACATCACTAGAGAACAGAGAAACCAAAAATTTATGAGAGTCCAAATGTAAAACCATGGAATACCTACAAATACCCACCTGAATAAACTGTGGGTCTCAAGGAATCAGAAAGCAGGCAAAACAAGGCAGTGTTTTGTCTCAGTAATTCAAATTCTTCATGGAATAGGTGGGAACTCAGACTGTGTGCTTATGTTACTTGAGGAGCAATGAGCAGCAGCACGAGAACACAAGCAAATAAAGGAAAAAGGAGCCACCAACCAACAGGACTGGGCAGACCTTAAGAAAGAGGAAGAGGAGAACAGAAGGCACCCAAGCAATGCAAAGGGTTTTACAGGTCAATAATGGAAAAGCAGAAACAAGAGGTTCTCAATAAACAGTAAGCTGCAGGAACAGGCGTGCTGTCCTAGCTGAGCACCTGTCAGAACAGCCCAAAAAACTTCACACAAGCTGAAAGACAACCTGATTGTTTGCTCCTGTTCACAAAAACACCTGGAAGAACGACGCAGCTTTTGGATTCTGCTTGGTCAAACGTTCATGTAATTCTGCCTTCAAAAACATCTGAGCGATGGGGGAGGAGAAAATAAACAAGCATTTAAAGATCTCTATAAGCTTGCAACTGTCAGCATTTAACCACACAGATTCTACGCTTTTTCACAGAAAGATGAGAGATACAAAACAAAGGGTGGAATTTCCAAAAGGACATGCAGTAAACTGAACCACCAATCCCACGTGAAGTTAACTGGAGTATATCCACATTCATCTCAAAGGCTGCAGCAACTGAACCAGCACTCCACATGCTGAAATCTTCGTGAGGATGTGTGCCCTTCTTGTTCACCCCAGCTTTAAGAGAACTTAAACTGTTGTAGGACTCACACTATCCTTGCCCTTCATTATATACAAAAGAGTAAGTACTCATGGAATTTTCTGCCCTCAAGGTTCATTAATTCCTCCCTAGGCACCAAACTGAAAGTTAAACAAATGGTACTAATGCAAAAAAAAAAGTCTCTCTGTAATCTCTGTAACTCTACAATCTTATCATAAAGGTGTTAGGGAATGGTCTGAAATAGAAAACGCTACTTTCCAAACTCAATCTTCTGGCAGCAGCTCAAGAAGTCAAGTCATGTTTACTTTCCCTAATGGAAACCCACCCTCACTCTCCTTAATGCCAGCACTGATCAGACCCGAGAGCTGCAAGCAGTTGGGCTGAGCCAGCTGTGTCTGGCCAAACTGACATCCAGTGCAGGGCACACACAGAGCAATTAGAGGAGAAAGCAAGTCACACAGCTGCTCCTTTTTCACATGCACACTTGGTGGATGGAGCATTAGATCTTTGCAGAAGTGTTGAAGGTATTACAGAGTGTTTTTCAAGTGATGACAAAACTACACAACAGTTCAAGCGTCAGAACACCGAGGAGCCCAGGTATACAAACACTTGCACGGAGCCAGGATTTCACTTTTAGACAGGATTTTCACACGTATACTCACACACACATCAGTATGTAAAGAAACTTTTAATATAGAGGAACTTTTTCATAAAGCACAGAATTCAAAGTTAATTCTAATATTTTCATCTGCATACAGCTAATAACAAAAACAGGGTAAGTAGGAGTCAGTATCCCATGTTGTGTGAACAGATAACTTGGAAAAACCTCCAGGTGCATTACAGTAGGTCAGGATAGAAGGTAACTCCCCCTGAACGTAGCATAAAACACTTGGTACTGAGAACAGGGAAACGAAGACACTACACTGCTAAGTTGCCCAGCCTATCAGCTGCACAGATAACAATATCAATATGTTGCTCTAAATGAAATTTGCAAGTCCCTTCTCTTCAGTTCTTACTTCAGTATTCTTGCACCAGAATGGAAAGAAGCTTGAATGAAATAGTAAAGTCCAGCAACATTCCACTGCAGTGTGATTCGTAACAGAAAACCAGATCTGCTCTGTGCAGCCCCATCCTGCATTCATTCTTCTGCAAAACACCACATTAGACTCCATCAAGTGTGCGACAAATGTCTGTCCTCCAGTAACTGCTGCACAAATGCAAACACCACAAACCTGTTCAGTAGAACTGCTTCCAAGAATTGGACATTCAAAACCTCCAGCACAAACTGCACCAGCTCATGAAATCTAGTAGGATTTGTAATGTTATACATATCCCTCCCCTGGGAAAAAAAGATCTATTTCCAATAATTCTGGATTTTTTTTAACATTAAAACCACGGAAGAAACCACCAGGTAAATAAAACAGGCAGGAAGAGTCAGAATTACGCTTCACATTTCTAACCTCCAGCTGAATTCCTCCAGTGCGGTGCTCCCAGAAGTAAGCAGGGCTTGAACCAAGAACATGGAGGCAGATTAACGATGAGGGATTCCGTCCCTCACTCTTTAATCCACAAATCTAACAGAAGTAGAAAACAGGAAAGGAACAAACGGAGCAGAGTGGACCAACAGTACAAAACCTTATCAATTCCACTTGACATCTCATGCTGCTGTGCCATTTTGCTTCAGATTCTCCCTTGGATGCGGTGCTGGAGGGAGTGCACAGGCAGACACTGCCAACAGAAGTATTTTTATTAAGTGCTTCAGAAAAAGAAGCTGATGGTATTGAGACACTCAAATAAACCAACCCAAGCCACCTTAGAAAAGGAATTATTCCAGCCTATAAGTAGCAGCTTCCACATTCACATAACCCACGTGTTATGGAATACAAGCTCCATACAGCATGATACAAAGCAGTCCTGCTTTCAAAAAAAGAAAAGCAAAGAAAAAGGCGCAGCATGAAGTAAAGTCAGACAAGCAGTTTTGTGAGAGCTTTAATGGCACAAAATGTTTATAAGCTACAACTTATACATGTACTGTAAACTGTATAGAATGTTACAAAGTGCTAACTAATTTATGAAGATGCATAATCACTTTGGCTCAGTTCACTCCAATATTTCAATAAATGTCAATTTAAAAATTTCGAGTTTCTTATGATCTTCAGCTTTCACTTCTTAAAACAGTGAATGTGTTCTGACTGCAGTTACATTACCTGCTGCATTTTCAATGTGTGAGTTTATGCAATCTTTTGTTGATCATATTTACAAATATTTAGGCCAGTTTTCAAAGCATGTAAGAAAAATGAAGCCTGCTTTTTTTTTTTTTTCCAAAACTGTAAACAGGTATAAAGCTTTTTAAACATCTACCTTAACAAAACTTCAACTATCAACAGTTGAAACCCCTTTTCAAATGAAATAGTCTGTTTCTGTTCCTTGTAAAACCAGAAGTCGTAGACTTTCATTCCAAGTTTATAGTAGGGCATCAATAAATAAGCATCGCATCACATACAGTGATCATGGATTCATCCCTCAGCTGTAATCTTTACCATTTTTTATTTCATGGCTCCTTCAAATATTATAAACTGTATGTTGATACCCCAGCCACAAGCTTGCAGTGTTACTTATCAGATATTCTGAAGAAATACCTTCTAATTTGGAAAGGGGTAATTTTATTTTGTCAAAGGAAAGTATTCCCTACTTTTTCCACTATTCCAATTTTGATACAAAACAAGGTGCTACAATTAGAACTGAAAGTGTATCAGCCTTTCCCCATCCCCTCAGCTTTTCAGGACTGCAAAGCTCTGCACTCAGTAGCACCTGAACCACCCTCAACACTTCCTCCCTACCTCCCCCACCTCTGGGTGAAACCCAACATCCACACTTGAAACAAAGATGCAGTTGTAGCAACTCGGGCACCAGCAGCACTCCCAGCTACAAGAAAAGCAGGTGTTTTCCACAGAATGGCCGACTGCTCTTTTACCCTGAAAGCATTCTCCAACAGCATTCCGAAGTAGGGAATAAGAATGAGCACAGGTTAGCAGTGGATTTACACTCAGCTTCTTCACTTCCTGGGAGCTAACTAAGCTCTCTCAAACCAAACCTCAACTGGGATTTAGCTGCTATGCAAGCTGTTCCAAGTGATCACTGCTGAATCGGATATTCAACTTTATAAAATCTGATGTAAGCAAACAATCCAGGTGGCTGTTCTCTCCAAACCAGCTGACTGTATTTTCTTAATATTTCCTACAAGTCAGACTACTAAAGTTTTTATTTAAACGAGATTTTTGCTAGCCTTAAAATTAGCATTGCTCCCTAAATACTTAGTATTAAAGTCTATACCATATTTTTTAATATATTCATATATATATATATAAAAGAGTATTCTATCCTTCAGAGTCATACTACATGTTCTGAAATCCAATAAAATCTATTTCAGGACACGGACGTCCCAATGCTTTGTAACAATTTGGTACTAAAGCTTCACATTTTGAAAAGAAGTGTCACTGAAGGAGGACAAGGCTTAATGTTCCCTAAGGTAAAAGTTCAACATGAGCGAAGAGTCTACCTAACATGAGACATCGCAGGCGACGTTCAGGTCCCACGTCCCCCCGAAGGAGATTGTACAGTAAACAGAGAGGAATATTGGAAACTCATTTGCAAAGGACATTTCAGAGCTCTGCAACCTCTGAATCCTCACACACCCCCAAGATTGTCCCCTTGAAGTCTGGTCAACCACTTGTCTTCCAAAACTGCCCCGTTATCGTAATGTAAAATGGTTCCACGACAAACAGCATCGATCCTTTTACACAGAGCCTAACTACACCTACAGCTGTTGGGTTTTTCCTTAATTTAAAACTACATTTCATAGGAAGATTTCACATTTAAAATTCTCCCTCAAGAAAACAAGTAAGGAAAAGAAAAAGCTTCTTCACATGCAAACAGTGCATTTTTTTCTAATCACTTCTAGGCATCAGACAGCTTTCCTACAAGGAATAAGGAGCTGACTTCATAGAAAAGACAAAATTACAACAATTATCTAATATTAAAATATGCTGATGGATTTAGGTATTCTACTTTAAAACTTATGCAGTCTTTGCCTCCTGCAAATCAAATGGTGCTAGCCAACGTAAGGGGGAGCATATAGGAAATTCCCCTGTGAGCTGATTTAAACCATGTTTTATTGCCAGGAATTTCTTAGTTTATTTCACAACCGGTTTGTTTCTCAAAAGCAGAATTCAATTTCACTCCAATCAATAATTTTCTTCAGAAGATACTTAAGTTTATCACTATAACACAGTCACATTTATACCATGCACAACTGCAATTTAAGTCAGGTTGCACTAAGGAGGCAACAGCATCACTGATAAAATTAAAACTTGCTGGTGGCATTTTGCATTGAGAGAAGCCCTTGCAACATATAGACAGTTGTAAACTCTGTTCAGCAACTCTGACGTGTCTTGCAGGCCAAGAGGCAAGGGAATGGGAGGAGAGAGGAAAAGAATGTGGATAGCAAAACACCTCAACAGAGTTCCAACACAATACTGAATTCCAGAATTAGCAAAAACCTGGATATGTAAAGAAAGGGTGAAGTCAGGGTCATGCTTAAAACGATCTCAAGTCGAACGTACTAAACGAGACAGAAACACCTTCACAGGTCACGTGGGGGTCCAGGTTTTGCACCCCGTCTCTCAGTAAGTGCTGGCTGAAGGTGTGGTCAGTCGTTTTCCGATGTAGATGCTGAAATAAAAAGCATAAAGCATATCACAGCTCACAGGAATACTCCCTGCTTCCCACAGTTCTCAGGCACTCTGCTATTCTGATTTGCCTTTCAGGCTTGATGAGGTTCTCCCAAGGACTTCATTTCATTTATAAAACGACGTAAGAGCGACGCTGTCAGTGGAGCCCAGAAGCACTGATGCTACCAGTGTTCAGTAACTGGGCTGCTTACAGTTCCACGCTCTGCAGCACCCGGCCCAGGAGCCCTGATGCCTCTGTAGACCACCTGACTGAGGGGGCTCTTGAAGAGCTCAGCACCGCTCCCAGATGACTATTGCAGTAAAACAAAGTATTGCCAGAAAACGAAGAGATAAGAACTGAGGACCTACAGAAACACGGACCTCTGATGTTCAGGCAGCGTTTCACACAAAAGGCACACTTATGCAGTAGCACAGCTATCTTACAATGCACTTTCATAGATTCTATCCTCCTAATTTTCTCAACGCGTGCCTTTCTGTCCTTCACAAAAGAACCCAAGATGGATAAACACGTTAGAATTTAAGCAAGCTCAGAAATGTTGGATTATGCAGGCATGGAAAACACTGCTGAGCAAATCAGCAGCTGATCTCACAGGACACATCCAGTATTTCATGCATCTAAGCATTCAAACCTTTATATTTGTTAATATCAGAGAACTGCAGCATTGGACAGAGAATGCACCGCACAGAGAAATTCAGCAGCCAGTATTTGCACACTGTGGTTTTGTAATGGTTAATAAACATTACAGTTTTCCACTTGCTCTTACTTTCCCTACATAACCTGAAGTGTTTGAGAACGCATGGATAACTAGCTGGTACGTGCTGTAATTGCAAAGGTTATCTGCAAATTCATGATAATCCATGCATTCTCAATATAAGAAACTTGACCTATAAAATACAACATACTCATGATTATCATTGCTGCAACGTTTTCCTGCATTTGAAAACAAAAGCAAAAAGGCAAGGTGCAACAACACTCGAGTTACTCCAGACAAAGCCCTTTTCAGCAAGCACCCGACATTCAAGTAAAGCAGAAAATCAAAGCCAGATGCAAAAAGTTGAAGTGAGAATTAGGTTAATACTTACCCTAGTCCCAAAGCCAAAACATGAGATATGAACAGAGATGGAATGAAAACCTTAAGAAACTCTGCAGAGAAAATGCCACCTTTCTTCATTGCTCCACTTTTCCTCATACTTAAAGACACCGAACGTTTAGGATGTCTGAAATGAAATTCCCTGAAAGAAAAGAGGGAGGAGAGAAAAAAATTCAACACTTTCTTATTGTTGCCTTTTTTTTTTTATTGCACACATATGCACAGATCTCTGCAGAAACTTTTTTTTTTTTTTTTAAGTACAAAGAGCTGCAGATCAAAGCAAGAGATCCCTTACAGAGTAGGGGAGCAAAGAGAAAAATAGGAGGCATTGTGAAGAGACCACTTACATAGACAGTATAGAGACAAAGGGAGCAGCAGCTGAAGAGAGGTTAGTCTGAGAGATGGATGGGATTTGTTAGCAAGAGCCTCATTTTTTGCTCCAAACAGAGACACAGAAGTCTGCCAGATGCAGACAGCATCCTCTGCTTTCTTAAAAGGCTTTGCATTCAAGATTCTCAGTGTTTCCCCTCCACTGGATGAACATCATATATTTTACACAGAAAGAAAAAAGGTACAGAATTTGTGAGACTTGCTCAAAGCTTCCATTCAATAACCTGTTAATACCAGCTCCAAGCAACCAGGTCTCCCAATAATTCTGCAAAGAAACCTCGTAATCAACTTGCCATAGATTCAGGTTACTTTCAGCAAAAGGTATTCAGATGTTATTATGATTTGCAAACTTCACTGCCTCAACTTTTTGTAGCCTCCCAAAAGAAAACTCTTTGTCCCAGAGTTGGCCTTATTTGCACAGACAGAATAAGTGCTTCTAAGTGAGTCTCATGGTTCTTCCCTCCTGCAAAGGAACTCTAGGGAACCTGCTTTGGCAGGGAGGTTGCACTAGATGATCTCCAGAGGTCCCTTCCAACCCACACAGTTCTGTAAAATTCATTAAGAAAAGTTTAACTCACTTGGGAGGAATGTTTTCAGGCCTACTCGACCAGTCTGACACCCAGTCAGCACTTTTCTTCAACACCTCCAACTCCTTCTCTCCTTCTACTGCTTCTTCTTCAGACTGAAAATACACGAGACAAACCCTGTGACAGCCAGTTAGCTCCTCCTCATGGCATTAAGTTGAGAGCAACAACAGGAATAAACTGATAAGCACCAAATGGCAGCACCTGAAAACAAGCCAGTGTTCTCACGCTACCTACTATTTAAGAGAGACTTTATTGTTCTAAAAGAAGGCACTGCAGACGTCAGCATGTCACCAATTATGTTATTACAGCTAGGAGCCCAACACAGCAGTAAGTTGGGTTTTTTGCACATAGATATTTTTGTTTGTTAGGTTTTTTTTTTTTTTTTGTTTAATGATAATTGTAATGAAACACAGTTTTTACAAAAAAACAATTTCATGACATTTGATTTAAAGCATGCAGAATGTAGATAAAGCACAGAAAGGCAAAATGAAAATGCTTCAAAAACAATACTTAGAAGGTCCTAAAGGAGTTACTTAAAATTACTGTTACATGCAAGGAGGGGACTCTTCTGGGTGCACCTCAGGGGCAGCAGGGAAAGTCAAGCACTCAGCTGCCTTCACCCAAGGAGTTAACATTACATCACTTGATATAAGAAAAAAAAAGTTAGCTAAAAGGACCTGAGAATTTAGAAAAATAAGAGAGATGACTGTTAAGATGAGTGGGAACCATGACAAAAGTAATCAAATTCAACAAAATAGATGGCAGACCTGGCCAGCAACTTCATTCAGGGAGCTCTGGCTCTCTGCAGGGCTCCAGTGCAAGTCCTGCCCTTTGGCCAGATCTTAGACACAATTAAATGCAAGGCTTCTTTCCTCCAGAATTGCTTTCTTATGCTGCTGAAGACAGCAAATTCCATTTCATTAGCAAACTAACTTTGGCATCAGTCTCCTCTTGGTCTGTATTATGAAGACTGCTCACTGTGTGAGCTGATGGATGCACACAGCGTCCATCAGGGTCTCAAAATGAAAAAACCTGCTAGAGAGCAGCAGTTCAATGGATTTCCTCTGACAGGTAAAATATATGATATTAAAGACCTTCTGAGGTGACAGAAAACTCGCTCTGCCCTTCAAGTTCTCCCAGTATCGACCTAGGCATGATTTATATGCACAATACCTACAACTTTAACATATTTTTCAAAGTTAATTGTTTTAAAATGTTAAATACCTGAGAACTACTGTCTTTACTTGTGTGCATTTCCACATCAAACGTTATCTGTCCATCTTCTTGAGGTGAAGGGCTAAAGAAAAATTGATTTCATTATGTCACTTTTGTCACACTGTATTCTCAGCTAAAGAATAATCAGCATTAATAGCATCTCAGCTCAATCATTTCCACACGTGCTTCTGCGCACTATTCAAATGAGTAACAGACTACAGTCACCAGGATAAAAATGTCTTCATAAAACCTTTGCTTTGCCCTTTTTTTTTTAAGTAATCCCACCTCTCTCAGCAGGACTGACTGCCATCCCAGAGAATTTGGACTGAAAATACTGAACTACTGGCAGTTAAGAAAATAAGCCAGTTCCTTATCAATAAAGAGGTAAGAAGCCGTTTACTTTCTATTAAAGCAAGTGTTCTGTTTTAAATATTGCATGAAGTGCCTTCAAAGATTGCCTATACAGTCTGTAATTAAATCAGGCCTAACTAATTTTAAGTATCTTTTATTACTGATCGGCTACTTAATGTGTATGATAGACAAGAGAGCTCAACAGACAGCCATCATTCAGAAAATCCAGAGGAGACATAAGCAGATGAACACGTAAAATTATCTATAGAAACTGCTTATGGGCCTCCAAAACTGGCCTAAAGCCTTCAAGGGAAAGGCACAACGAAGAACTAGGAATACCATAATGCTCACCTGTGCCTCTAGGGGTTATACTGTCAGGCAAAGATATTTTGCCTTCGTTGGAAAAAAAGCAGAATACTGAAAGCAGGAAGTACAAATTCTTTCTTTCTGCCAAGTCCAGTGATGCATTTTATTATGTTTGACTGAAAACAAGGATATGTACATCACACTGTTACTAATGAGCCAATAAAGCTAATATATTTCATATCCTGAATGGTTTATGACAATGTAGAATTTAACTGTAGTGTAGATGTAACCTCTGCTTCTAGATTCCATGGCTTCCTGTAACAGTGAAATGATTTATTTGCTGGTCAAGAGCAAGCAAGTGCTCCAAATGCTGGCGCATGACACACTTAAGCTGGAGAAAAAACATTACCCTTCAATTAACAACAACAGGATTAAAAACTGCAAACAACAGCATGCAGGACAGCAAACGTTCACTTACCTGTCACAGTGGGAGCTACCTCTTGAGCTGCTCTGTCCCGATTCATGCTGGGCATCCAGAAGAATTTTCTCCATGTCTCCATTATGGATGGAGGATGATGATGGGACATGCTCCAGCCCTCCGTTCTTCCCATTGCCATTATCATTGCTGTTGCCATTGCCGTTCATCTGCAACTCCACCCAGGAACCTGTTGGGCAAGCCAGACATCATTTCATTAAAAGCAGTGAAGCTAAAACCATGTAAAGTTTATCAAGTGCACACAGAAAAAGGGCCCTGAACGTGGTGAATTCAGATAACACACACTGGTGCTGGGAAAAAGCTCATAAACACGTAGTGAAGACAAGGCTGATGTGTTTCTTCATGTTGCACAAAAAAAAAAAAAAAACACCTCCAAAATGTTATGTTGCTTCCTACCCCTGAAGCCAGGCACACTGTCCCCCATCTCCCCCAAAATCAATACTTCAAGAGACCACATTTCTCCCCACAGTTTGAAGTTTCCATTATCTGCATATCACTCAACTACACTAATCACTCCTCTTTCCCTGTTCTACTCCTATGTTCCTTTTTCAAAGGAAATTCTATTCTCCTAGCCCCGTTTCTATACAATTCCCCAACCTACAATTTCATACTATCCTTCCTCCTTCCACTTCCAAAGGTCCCCATTTCCAAACCAGCCTCCGACTTCACATTTACTTACACAGAAGTCATACCATAAAAAAGACCCCATACGTTCCCAGACCCACAAGGCAGCTGAGGGTTGATGCACCTCTGGGCCCATCAAGTCCCAGCCCAGCAGGGCCCCCCAGAGCTGCAGCCAGCACCACATCCAGGCAGCTGCTGAACATCCTGTAAGATCTCACACCTTCCTGGGCAACCCGTGCTCAGCCACCCCCTCAATAGAGAAACGCTTCCTGAGATTGAGGTGGAACTTCTTGTGTTCTGTGTGACTTCACGTGCAGGTTAACTGAACAAAAAAGTCTTTACCCCCACATTCCTGAGAGCCATGTTTCAATTTGCACCACTCAGCGTCCCGAGGGGTGAAGGTAAAACAGATCTCCACCCTTCAACCTGTTCCAAATATTTAAGTACATTCCCTATCCGATTGCAACTCCAACCTCCTCATTAAGATACAAGCCCAGAGTCCTGTGACTGCGCAGACACAGTAGACCTACTGGCCTCACACAGCGACAACTGACGGGTTTCTCCTTGCAATTACCACCTCAATTACTGAATTTCACACTGCATTTACCCATGCTATAGAATCCTGTCATTTAGCTGTGTTCCAAGGCTCTGTGTAAGAAAACACTTGCAGTTAGGATCTTCTGGTGTTCCATTTTGTCAGTTTTGTTAGGAAAGCTGTAAGGCCTTCAGACACTGCTGCTGTTAAAGCCTCTTCAACTACATTAATAACCTTTTAAAGTCATGTTGCGTTTGATGCAGCCACCGTTTAAATACTTGATTAAAAACTGAGCTGCAAACACAATGAACTACTTGAAACACCATCAGAACATCAAGAACACACAGCATTAATTCCACCATCTCTAAAGTTTCTGTGTCCTCCCAAAGAGGTCACAGCAGTTTCCTGAACAAAAATGCTGTTTAACGCTGTACAGCACGTGGAGCATAAACAACACTTTCATGTGAGAAGATCCTGATTAGGGAGGGCAAAGATCTCCTATTTCTCACAAGTATAAAGTGCAACATTATTTCCCATTATCAGTGAGACAATGATTTCACACATATGTTACATCACTGACACTATCTGAAGGTGAATGGTTGATCGCTGAGGTAAAAACAGCCAAAAAGAAAGAGAAAATGAAGCCTAAAGATACAAACAAAACAGCTGAAATGGCTTCTTAAAATTACCTGCATTGGTTCAAAACTTCAACACTCGTTTCTTGCCTTATGAAATGCACCTTTAATGGCTCCATTTGTTTTTACAGCCCAGCTCCAGCTCTGTGAACCCTCCAGTGACACAGGAAGGCGCATATGACCAATTATCAACTTGTTTTTGTGAACCTGAAATAGTTTATCTGCAGCATCAGTTACAAACCCACCGCTGTGCACCACTCTCTGCCGAATGCTGGCGGCTGACGGCCTGTTTTCCACAAGCTGTATTCACAAGTGAGGAATCTGGGTGTGCACTGAGCTTGCACACAATTACACACCAACCCCAGGAGATACTGGGCTGCTTCCTCAGCCTCCAGACAGCCCTCCACAGCACTGGGTTCCACGGAGGCTTTATGGGTGTTCAGTCTGGACTGACAAAACTCGCTGTTTATCTAAAAAACGTTGCAGCCACGCCAGGAAGAGCAGTAAATTAACCGTGAGCACAGAGCCCCAGCGCGCCGAGCAGCGCTTTACATGACCAGCAGCACGTTCCCTGTCTGACCTCACTTTTAATGAATCAAAATACACTCACGGAAGCCTAATCTGACATCAAGCTGCAACACGCCACATCCTCCCACTGGGAGCTACAGCCAGCAAACCCTGCAGCTCCACAGAGCCAAACAGGGACGGCAGCCTCTGCCTGCGGAGCAGCAGCACAAGGAAGCTCTGCAGAGCAACCCGTGATGTTCATCACCCACAGAGTGCTTAATTTACTGCATATCCCACTTGGCTGTTCAGCTGGAGGTATGGTAGAACTCAGCATTCTCACGTGAACCGTCAATGGAGCCTCCTCAGTTTATTTCCTCCTCCCTTCCAAAATCACAAAATTTGGGGGGGAAAAAAAATAACCCAGAACCTGTTTATAAAAACGGTATTTCTCTCCCAGATTCTGTGAATTCTGGCCATGCTCCAATGCAAATTATGTCATTATGAATGGATATATACAAAATGTTTGTAGCTATTTATGAAGAAATTAACCACGTTACATGCTTAGTTTTTTTTCTGAAGAATTTCAATATTTGTGAAAAAGTGACAAAGTTTTTTCATATTTTTGGTAGGAAACAGCATGCAGATCGTGTTCTTAAGAGAAAAACCAGCAGAAATACCTGTTAGCCTTTTCATACCAGGCCTCTGGTTAATGTAAATTGCACTGACCGCCTATTCACAAGGAGTTACACCTCCTGACTTTTCTTCTCTAAGAGCGAGGCTGACATATTTTCTTGCCCAAGTAGAAATAATTAAGATAACTGAAGTGTGGAGTCGTTGCTCCCCATTTCTATCACACTGCAGCCCATCCTCATGCAGTCAGTGGGAGCCCACAGCGAGCCGACCAGCCCAGGATCAGCGTCTAACAAGGGCTTCTGCAGAAGCATTAAGTCGGTTCACAGGCAAGCCCTCCCAAATCCTGTTGCAAAACTGAAGCATCAACAGGCTGGCACCTGGCGTGCAGCCACCCTGCACACACAGCTTTTATTAAATAGAGAAATCCAAAGTACTTTCAGGTAGGTGCGTGTGTAGAAATAAAAGCAGTAAACAGCTCTCTACTCTGAGCCATGATCAGCCCGAATAAACTAAGAAATAGCAGCTCTTACAAAGAAGTACAACATTAACAAGGAAAAAAAAATAAAAAGAAAAGCAACCTGTTCAGACTCCCACAGTAGTAATTATTAAGCAAGTTTTCCATGACAGAGCTGATGGGCTCCTGCCTGAGGTAGGACTGATGCCTCGTCAATATGTAACAGAGTCCTGTAATAATTAAAATGGAGGAAGCATCTAGGATTCCGAAAGCATGTAAACTTTTTTCATTTTCTTTTTGGTGAACCCAACAAAGCAAAGATTCAGTTACCAGTTTTATTCCCAGGTCTTCTGCCCTTCGATTCAAGTGCTTGGAGATTCTGAATGAAAGGCCTTGAACATACACAAATGACACACAGAGCAAAATGAATAAGCGTCTCAACTCATTAGCCTGAAAAAGGTCACTGAAAAGCTTATATAATGGCAGAAAATGCACCTACAACACCAAAGCATTGTGGAGCAGCTGAACATCTGAAAGCAGGACTAAAGCCACGTGCAGCTGATTGGTTGCACTCGTTTTGTTCACCGAGCACAGATTACTGAGCATTTCCTCTCATACCTTGTGCTCACCACCTCCAGTAATCACATTGATTTTGCTAAGCCTTTATGCACTGACCCAGCAGCAAGATCTACGTGGGCAGATCCAGCCTGGGCTTACAGCGCTCATCCCTCGTGGTTCCCATCTTACAGCTGATTAATGTGTTTCACAGAGTAACTGAATGTACCAGCAGAAAACAGCGTGGAAATACTGAAGTACAGAAGCAAAGATGGCAATTTATAAAGCATCAACACATCGAGATAGAATCATAGAATCCTAGAGTGAAAAGGAGCACAGTGCTCATCAGATCCAACCCCCTGCTGTGTGCAGGTCGCCAACCAGCAGCCCAGGCTGCCCAGAGCCACATCCAGCCTGGCCTCGAATGCCTGCAGGGATGGGGCATCACAGCCTCCTTAGGCAGCCTGTGCCAGTGCCTCACCACCCTGTGCGAAAAACTTCCTCCTGATATCCAACCTCAACCTCCCCCGTCTCAGTTTAAAAGCATTCCCCTGGTTCTATCACCATCCACCCTCACAAACAGCCATTCCCCCTCCCGTTTATATGCTCCCTTCAAGTACTGGAAGGCCACCATGAGGTTTCCACACTGCAAACTTAAGTTGTCAAAACTGTTCTGTAGCACCCCTGAATAACTGGGTAGAAATACCTGTTTTACACAGGTGGGCACAAACTGCACTCCTTATCACAAGGTGTAACACCACCATCACACAACAGCAGCGTTACGAGAAGGCCATCGTTTACTCCTTATTGCAATTCTCAGTGAGTGACAAGAGCTCAGCCAACCCCTGCATCTCATCGGCAGTTTGACTTCATCATAAACCCCGAAGGGATGGTTAATCATTGACACTATCTATCCGGCTCTTCACCTGAGCTATCCTCAGCGGTCACACCGAGGCAGCAGTTTCGCACACGGGATAAGCGCTGCCAGCTGAGCACCGGAGCCCGCGGGCAGCGCGGGCAGCGATGCTCCACATGAGCGTTATCCCGGGAACAAAAGGATGCAGGGAGCAGCTGACACAGACGCCGGATACAGAGGAAAACAGCTCACGTCAGCGGTATCGACTCAGCCACTGAATAAACTCATACCCAGCCGCGCTCCTCCCCCCGCCGTGCCGTATCCCCATCTTAGCTTCTGAATAAACTCAGTTCAACCACAGCACAAAGCCTCTCCGCTCCCCTCGGCTTCGCCCTGTTCAGCGCAGCCCCTCCGGCCCCACGTCGGCCCAGACCCCGACACCCCGAGCTGCTCGAATTCCCACCCCTGCCCCCTCAGCCCAGACCCCCTTCCCTCAGCCCGCCTAGCCCGCCTCAGCGCCCGCTCCTCGCAGCCCCTCCGGACGCCGCCGATTGGCCCCCGGCGGCTCGCGCGGCCCCGCGCTCCGCCAATCGCAGCCCGGAGCGGGGGAAGGGGCTCCGGGGCCCGCCGCCGCCCCCCGCCTGCTCGCGCTCCGCTCCCGCACGCCGGCCGGAGCCGCACTCACTATTGAGGCCCAGCTCGGTTTGCGTTCCCTCAGCCGGCGGGTTGTTGTTGTTGTTGTGCTGCGGCGGCTCCTGAGGGCTGGACATGGCGGCGCAAGAGCGGCGGCCGAGGAGACGGAGAGCCGCTGGGGCTGGGACAACAACAACAAACCCGGACTCCGCTCCGGGCCCCGCCGCCCCGCCTCCTCGCTCTGCGCATGCGCGAGCTGCGCCGTTCCCACCCTCCGTCGCTGCGCACGCGCCGCCCGCCCCGGGGCGCGTGCCGCGCAGCATGGCGCCCGCTGTGCTTGCGCACGTCCCGCTGCCACCGCCCCGCGCATGCGCCGTTTCGCAATCGGAGCACCGCGCCTGCGGACGAGCGCGCGTGGGGCCTGGGTGGGCGGGAAGAGCGGACCGTGAGGGGACAGGCGCGAACCGTGAGGGGGGGGCAGAGCCTCAGGCATAGAGTAACTGGAAAACCGAGCCCCCACGGCGTCTGCGCCTCACTGATCCTTCGACAGAGAGAAGTGATCGCATTTCCCGCTATTCCAAGGCTTCTTGGATCCCGTTCCGCCATTCTCAGCCCGACACGGTCGGCCTGCACCACTTCAGCCACCCGGGGTCCGGCCGTGCCGCTTCCCATGAAGGAGGCAGAGCGTCCTCCTGCCCGCGCTCAGCTGCTGTGAGGGAAGCAGTCGAACCCGCGCAGCCAAAGCGTCGTTCTCCAAAACCTCTCCCCCAGCTCAGCCATCTTGATTTTGCCCTGAATAATTTAAAGCCAACGAAACTAGTAGGTCCACAAAACATAATTAGGTCTCCCAGTACTAATTAACTGAATTTTTAAGACTTTGGCCAAATAAACCTCTAAGACCTAGCCTAAGTCAGCAAAGTGTAGCAGTTTACTTAAATGGTGGCAGAGTTAAGAGAGAAGAGGGCACCTATGTAACAAAAACGGACCTGTTCTTAGCTATAAAAAGTGAAATTACTTCTCTGCACCCGTTTCCTCTCAGTATGAAAATGAGAAATATCCTCAGGCTACTCATGCACCTACTGCTGTACTGTGAACGAGAATAACACTGAATTTCCAGGGAAAATAGACCTGAAAATGCAATGAAATACTTCAAATGCGGTGAAATACAGGCGCCAACACGTACCTGACCTTGGCGAGGTTTCTTCAGTTACAACAAGAGTAGCTTCTGCATCAACCACGTATTCTAAGTAGCTAACATGAAACAGCCATATATAGAACGTGAGGTTCTTCTAAATCACCTGTTTTAAGACAACAGTCAATATCATCTTGAAGATCAAGCGTATAAATGCCTGAAGGCAGAGCCAGTTCCCACAGATACTTTGTATTGCAGATAGAATTTTTACTAGGATCATCCTGCTTCTAATCTCCTTTTTCATTGAGACTCTTGGAGAACGATCCAGCAAGAACAACTTCACCACAGACAATTTAACTTGCCTTCATTTCTCAATAAATCAGTTTCACTACCTTCATTCCGTGTGATACCACCTAAACTCCAAGGTCTGTTTCGAGGCCTGAAGTATCTCTGATGGAACTTTGTAACCAATCCCATCCCACACAAACACATATGGCATTTTACTTCCTAACAGCACTGATGGAGGCCTTCACACAAAGCCATTCCCATCAGCAGCCGTGGGGATATAAATAGGGGCAGGGGATCACTGTTGCGTGGTAGTACTACTGCTGCTATCAGAGACTGAAACAAATTCAGACAGACCCATCTGCATTAATGTTGTTAACTCCTTGTTACTCAGCAAAAAAGATGACTTATCAGAATTTATCAGGGTTAGGGTGCGTACAACTGTCACAGTTATCCCATTCTAGATGATCATTAGCAAATATCTTTCTTCGTTTTCTCATCTACGCTGCGCTGGCTGAAATAGTGATGTGTGGACATTCTAAATCTGCCTTACGTGACACTGATCTTTCCTACCAATGTGACTGTATATGTTTACATGTCCACACCAAATGTCTGATCTTGTCAAAAATCTGGATGCCCCTCAGTTATCACTGGTACAGAATTTGCTATATGTTATGAAAAGACAGCAGCAATTTAGACATTCTAATAAGACATCCCTTCACAGATAGAAGGGCCACAGATGTGTTCTAGGTTAGAATCAGAAAAACAAGGTACTTATGATGCTGAACAGAGCCCCATCCCACTCTGCAATCCTAACACTCCCAGGCTAACATCAAGCATCATTTGTCATCTCCATCATCCAGGAAGCGTTTGCCATAATGCTCATGGCATGAATATTTATCAGCAAAGTGGGACTATTAACATTTCTGAGTCAGACAAATTAATCGAGATTACAGAGTGAGTCAATGCAGAGCCAGAAATAGCATTCAGAAGTCCTGACTTTCAGACCTGTTCTCTAACCACTACACAGGCTCCTTAAGGCAGCTGAATGACTTAATTCGTGCTTATAAAGTAATTGAATCCTCAGGTGGAAAATGCTATGAGAGTAGCTAAGGCGGAGGGACAAAAAGCCACGCGATCATAGAAGAGGAACAGTGGCTGTAAACTTCTGGGGAAGGCCTTTTGTGCAAGAAAAAGGGTTTTCTTATAGAAAGCCAGTCAGTCAGTTCAAGTCAACACATAAGATGCTGCCTGATTATCTCTCAAGAGCTGCCAAACTAATTGCAGTTTTATGCTCACGGCTCCAAGGCGTTTTTTGTCCACCCTCTTCTTCAGTAACATTTTGCCTCCTAGTGGAGGAGACCAATATAGAAGCACCTGCTTTTTCTTGTGAAAGAAAAATAGACGTATTGTTTGAAAAAGGCAGAGGTTGTTAGAATTCAAAGGTAGACCATACTGAAAATCCATGCTGCTTCTTGGCTCTGAGCTGCATCGCACTAGAAAGAAATGCCTGCTGTTTCTATTCCAGCCACTACCGCAACTTCTACAAATTACAAAAGTCCTTTCTCTACAAACCCAAACCTTCCATACCAGGTTAAATAAGGCATTTGTTGTGAGCGAACAATAGAAACTATTCAAGACACCGGTAGTCATTAACAGCAACCTCGGTCCCAGCACACCTCTCCCCACCTCAACTCTCTACATCAACAGTTCAACTTGCAACTGCTAATTATATGGGAAAGGGCAAAAGGAAACACCTCCTACTGCTCAGTCTAAGTCAGAAGTTATGGCGGGAATGCCAGAGATGAAGAAATGAAGACACGAAATCCAGTGCACAGGAAATTACTGCTTCTAGCTACGTCACCCCCATGACCGCCCAATTCCAGAGCAGTAACAACAAATCAGCCTTCCAACAGGCAGCAGCCTCTCCCCAGGAGGACAAAGCTGCGTTTCTGCTCATCAACATCAGTGTTTCCAAGGTAAGCTGAGAAAAAGATAAATATATTTAGATTTGGGACAACTGAGTGGAAGCTACAGCCCTGCCCCAATAGAACACTGAGCACACAGTAGGATGCTGCCAACATGTTTGATGGCATTAGCTTCTCCTCACCAGGAAAGCAGCAAAGGGACTTCAGCCACAGAGCCTGACTGCACCTCAGCCCTGTACCAGTCAGATAACAACGGGCTGCACGTTAATTGCTGGCAGTATCGCTGTGGTCTGAAGTATGGTTGCCATTCCGCAAATATTAACCACCTAAGTGGCAGCTGTAGGTAATCTGCTGCATCAAAGCCTTCGAGACAGACTCCAGGGAAGGGTTTGGTTCAGTATTTAAGGGCTGAGAACTGAACAGCTGCACTGGTTGTACTGGGAACTGAGGGAGAGCAGGAAAACGGAGCAGCTGCTTTCCTCCAAGTGTAATGGAGGAGGGCAGGACTGCCTTAACACCCACCCACCCCGTCTGGCAAGCTCTCCAGGCTAAGGCCCAGAAATAACACAGCACCTAGCAAGAAGGGCACTACTCAACATGCAGCAAGAAGGATGAGCAATTTCAAAAACCTGTAAGTAGAGAGAAGGGATGGGAAGAAAGATAAAAAGCAACCTGACAAGATGTATTCTATGCATACTTTTATTAATAAAATATAAGATTTACAGCATATGTCAATGGACAGTGTTTTAGAGAAGTATCTATTGGACAGCATGACACCAAAGTCAGTAGCTGGTTTTGTTGAGGATAGGTTAAACCTCAAGCGACAGGCCAGAGATCACCGCTACTGCTGAAAACAAGGATTTCCCAAGACTAGCCTTAAAACTCCTGAAACCAACAAGCACAGCTGAGGTCCAAGAGGCAGTTCTGCTTGAGTGTAGTATTGCTAGAAGGCTGCACTTCCATCTACGAGAAACTACGTGTTCAGTTCTGTCTTTGCATCCCCACTGCCGTCTGTGCAGCTTTTCATGTATTCAGTGCATCGCTCAGGATATACAGATACACAAGTAAAAGTAGCAATCTTGCTCTCGCAAACCTCGATATTCCCAAAATAACAATTAAACCTTTGCGAAAACAGAGATGAATTTTTACCAGCTCTGTTGCTGAAGCAGTGCCCGATTTCCTCTTTGCTCTCATGATAAGGTAATGAACAAATGTTGGGCCTGATCCCGTGAAACACCTCTATGGACGACAACCAACAGGTTTCTTCAACTGCTAGCAAGTATTTTTCGCCCTCTGGAAAACAGCTGCTGTTCCTGGGGCAGTTACTCTTTGTGAAAAAGGAAAAAAACAAGGCTAACAGGTGAAATATTGTAAGGATTTTACCAAGGCTCATGGTCAGGCATGCATGTTACAAGACAAATACTGTATTTAAGAGAACCGGATCTAATATTACAATCTTTACATTTTCAAACCTCTGCACAAGGACTTAAACTAAAGTATGGTTGCAAGTGCAGTCTTGTTAACAATCTCTAACTCAGCCATAATTTTACAGCAGAAACAGTATCTTAGTTGATCAAATAATAGAGGCGTTATCATAACCATCTATAACTAAGCTTTAGAAATAAGTTAAATCTAGGTAACTGAAACATGAAAGTCCTCCAAGTCCAGGTGAGTTCACTACGACTTTAAGCTTCATTCTGAACGCCTCCCTGAAGGAAGAGCAAACCTAAAAGCACAATTAGCAAAAACATCCGGAGGTAAAAACTCATGAGCCTTATAAAGCATCAGTATCTAGTTCATCTTTGGATAAGCCTTATTTGCTGAAGAGTTTAAATCTCTCAAATAGCTATGAACACTTATTTCATGCAGCTTCTGTACTCCACGT